GTTAGCATTTAGTTCAAAACACCACTAAATACAGCCTCACAGAGCTGCTAGCATAGATATATTCATTCATTCATTTCAGTAGGCTACATATGCCTACTGGCCTTACCTGCACAAAATCATGAAAATACATAAATAAAACAGCCAAACAGATATAAATATTACCTGCTAAACTGCTACCAAATTTCTTTACTAAAATCTCTTTATGATTGAGCTGCACTTTCGAGAACCATAATACCTTGATCCTGAATGTCCAGGGTGGTTTGGTAATATCCTCTGCAGTCTGTCAGTGTTGAACCGTCTGACTTATTGCTTCAGGCTCTCAATTTCATCTGTGAGAGTTGGTCTCGCTCACTTGAAGCAGAAAGTCCCCCACCTGTTGTAGTGTGTGACTATGCAATGTGTTCTCTCTGTTCAGCTTTGGAGAGAAATTACCTGGCTTGAATAGTTTCCAGATTGCTCTTTGTCTGGCAGAGGTGCCGATTGCTTCTTGGAATCTATTTAAGAGAGGGATTTATGTACTCTGCAAGCAAGATCGCAATTGAGGGAGGAGGAGAACCAAAGGAAGAGGAGAGATTGAACACAGTGAAATTACAGAAAAGAGGAGCTTGTATTGAAGTGAGAGACATATGGATGGAAAATGTATGGCACTAACTAACAGGATGTACTGCTGCAATTAAATCACAGCATTGTTCTTGAGTCTGCGTTGTGTGGTTACAAGAGACACAGGAAGTAACAGCATTATGGTTTCCACTGATACACGTCACACCAGAGGCAAAGCGTAAGGGCATGCCTACTCTGTGATGCTTTCTATAGTCTTTTCTAAAGAATCTTTATTTTGCAACTCATGCTGCTTTTTTAACGCTGATTCACTCAGGCTATATTTGTAAAATAACAGTGGAGGTGTGCTACCTCAACCTTTTAAGAAATAATAGTTATTTAATTAAGCTTACATGCATTAGAAGATCTAACGGAGTACCTAGTATACATTATTTTCACTAATGCACACATTATTTATATCCAACCACAGTTCTAATGATGATTAATAAACAAGTTACATAATGTTTTAGGGGCACCAATGTTTCTTATGTTCCCCTAATTATTGAATTATTGTATTGTGAGTACAAAATTGGCAGTTACCACTACAGAACCACAACTTGTTTGCATAGACAACATTTTGTATGAGACCATACACAGTTCCTTTGTCACCTAGAGATGGAGGGAGGTACACTGAGTACTGCAAGTTTCTTATATGAATATTAGTATTCAATCATTATTTTATTGTTATTCTGCTTTTATTCTTAGAACCCATCATTGTACAGTTGTAACAATCCCAATGTGCATCCAAAACACCAACATCTACTCAAAGCAACAGACAGCTTCTGTATAGACCATGGACAATATACTGTATATAAAATGATCAGAGCTTCCAGGTCTGTGAAATAAAGCCAACGCAAAGTATCTTAAACCTACATTCTATGTAAAGTCCAGCAGGGGGAGATCCATTGGCTGTAACAAAAAACGATACCATGCACTCTTATGGAGAAACAATGGCGACCTGCCATTGTTTCCTGCTACTGCGCAGCCAATGAGCGCAGCTCAACTAGCTGTACATCACCTCCACTGGCTCCGACAAAGTGTCATAGCGGTACTTTACAAACCAATGGGTGATGTCACGATACGTTCACACTTGGTATAGTCACAGGTTTCCAGGAGGATTCAGGTGGCAAATTCATCATGTCCACTTCCATGAAGGAACGGCCACTTTCAATATAAAGCAAACCATATAACAAAATGCAAGCTATGGTCTCAAATATTAAAGTTGGGACAAATCTTTTGTGACTTAATATCATAAAAAAGGGAACATTATGTTTCACAAATGTACGGCAGAACTTGGCTGTTGGATAACAGAGCTTCCAGTTTTTCCAGTCTGTTTGTCAAACCATTTACCTTCACATATCAATGAAAGATGTCTCAAGTAAAAAGTAGTTCATCTCACCCTTCTCTCCTCTATCCTTAGTAATAGTTTCTCTACAATGGTATGATGGTGTTTATCTTAAAAGTTTTTATTTTACAAATCATGCATGATAATCTTAATTTGAACAAATCAAAAGCTTTGACCATGGAGTTCTTCAGTTCAAATATAACTTGCTCAGTGCACAGGATTACCACTTCTACTTCAACTGGACAATTAAAAGGATTCACTATAAATTCCTACAAACATGTCATTATTGTGTGGTGCTGAGTTAACCTCACAAATGTTCAGACATGTCAAGGACTTAACAAAAGCATTCATGAGTAAAGATGTCATCTGACTCTGCCTAAGAAGTAAATCACACTCCTTTCAATTGAAGTGACAAGAGACTAAGCAAAAACAAGTTCACACCTCTAAATAGGGCTCAGCTCTAAAAAACGCTTATAAATGCTCATGATAGCACATTACCTGCGATATGGCTAATATCTCGACATGAGGGTCACCAATAGCCTTAAGACTCCAGGAACAGTTTTATTAGATGGAAGATGTGTGTGAGAGAATGCACCATCCACCATCCCTGAGATATGAACTGAATAGTTCACCCTGCCCTGATGTGTTTAAGTCAACAGAGACAAAGAGGGGGGGGGCACCTAATGGTGTTGGTGTTAGAACCATGCGAGAATGATGAAGGGAGGATGGATTGGTTTCTTGAACGATGTGTGCCTGTGGCGCATTCCTGCCCAGCTTTGTGAATGCATCAACATAAATTGAGGCAAGGAATAAAAGCTGTGTCACTGTGCTGAGGCGGCATTGTGTTACTGCCTGTTTAAAATATGTTACAACAAAAGGGTTGACAGGTTGTTGCCTCTGATCTTTGTAACTTCTCTGTTCTTTGCCGAATCCAAAATGAGCCGGTATGGTACCGTTGAAACTGCATTTTTTATATTTTCTTATGACATGAACACATTTACAGTTTTTCCAAGGATTTGTGCATGCTCATGCAACTAAATGTGCAATATCTGTGTGATCATACTGGGTGTGCACAGACAAGTAGAACCATCTAATAATCCTCCCTCTCAAAATCCAAGCTAACATGCGGCAGACTGCATGTGCAACACGCACTCACAGATCTACTACATTAAAAAGTCATGAGAAAATTCACCCAAGATTTGGTTCTTCTCATGCAAGCACTGCAGTGGCTTGAGAAGACTTCAGGTATCTTCGATTATGCAGCACTGAGTACTGCTTACAGTATCAAAGACTCTCTAATGTATTTCAGGAATAAACCTGCTGCTCATGTCTTCATTTCTCATTCAATCCTCAAACTCTGTTGCTACCGACAGTAGCGTGGCTAATCTTCTCAACAAAGATTTTATCATCTAAATTACATCATGAGCATTTTTATTTCACCCTGCGTCCTCAATACCTCCACAGCTGGCGCACAAATGATTTTTTTTTCCTCCGGTTCGAAGGGAAAATGTAGCGCACATTCTCTTTTCCAAATGTGGAACTGTAGTGACTTCAACAAGCAAGCCTCCAATTGAGGTTTCCGTCCACGAAAAGTGCAATCACTTATTTGGTTGTAGAACCCGATTCTTACTTCACTCCAAACCACAGGAATGCTGTGTTTGCTTAAAAAAATGCAAAACTCTACGCTGAAAAACAGTTTAAAATGCTAAGAAGTTTTTATTGTTTAAGTTTCAGTGTTGCAAATTTTGAGCTCAACATGGAGACTTCTTAGGAGACCAACCAAGAGTTTGAGACAACTTCCAGACTGCTGTGTCTCTCTGATGTAGGAACTCATTAATGATCAGAAAAAGCCATCTGTAACCCAGTTTAAATTTATTTGGAGGGGAAAGTATGTGCCTCGTGCCTGCCATTTCAGTGCCTCGTATACTCAATCGGGGAGCATTGTATCAGCTCTGTAATAACTGTCAAGAGGAAAGACCAATAAGTCCAAGTGGTCATCCTGGTACCATACTGTATAATAAGTATAATTTGTTTTTATCACATAATAGTAAGCCTTTGCATTTGCTTCCAGTCGAATTAACCAGTACAGCTGCACAGTGAATCTATAATGCGCCCCTAAAATCTTAAAACTTAAGGAATAATATAAGCTTTTAATTGTGGTGCTTTCCACAATTGTAAAAATAAAAGAGGTGGGCAGGATTAAAACAGCTGCATGAGAACAAAATTGGGTTTTAAGATGAGATTCAAAAGCAGAGACAGTGTTAGCTAACTGGATGCTAAATGGGGGGGTTGTGTCAGAGGCGTGGAGACATCACTCTTTTTTTTTAACCTTGACTCGATAACAGTTAAAAGCCTCAAACTGGCCGACCTAAAGGGCCAATAAAGGCTTAGATGTTTGGTTATATACAGCAGTGCCATTACCATGAAAGGCCTTATGTCTGAACTGGCCTCATGACTGATTTTCAATATCTAAATTGAATGTATGGATAGACAATATCATATGCTATACATATTATAAAGCCCTATGAAGCAAATGATTGATTTTCAGCTATATAAATGAAACTGATTTGACTTGAACAGAATAGAGCAGACAACATTTGATTTAAGGTGACTCACAAGCTTATGAAGTGTTGACTGGTGATGGGTCATAACCTACAGTCACAGTAAGTTCAGGCATTTCATTACTTCAATTATCTATCCATATTCAACTTCATTATATTCAATTTCATCTGTAGCCTGCTGGTGTAAAAAAGTTCCTAACACTTCACACATAATACTTTCCAACACCTAATAGGTCAGAGGATGAAACGCCTCCCATGGGCGGATGTATTCCCATTGGCCACCACTTCTAGCGCCCGCCTTATTTCTCACAGACATCTGCGCGGTCATTGGTCCACGCACCTGATCGTCATCGTACGTGTCGGGTGGGCGTCAGCAGCGATTTTTCCGGTTCGCGTCTGATTGGCTGGTTGTGGGCGTTGACGTCACGGCCCTGCCAGCTGATCGGAGTGAGAAGCCGGTTTGAAGAGAGGAGTTGGACCGGAGAGAGAGACCGGGGAGGGAGCCCCTAGGAGCAGCGAGCGGCACGGGGTGGGACCGGATACTCAGATTGGACCATTTTAACATTTCTTTTTAAACGTTAACACCGGAGTGCAACGAGACACACAAAGCGACAGTGTTGTCAGGGGTGAACTTGCGGGCTTTCGCGTCTCGTCGAAACCTCTGGAGCTGTCAGAAAAAAATTGATTGAGAGTTAAGGTGTGGCTGAGGGTTTCTGTAAGGCTTTCTGCACTGAAAAAAAATGTTACAGAACCGACTGTTTCTGCTCGGGAGTTGCCATCTGAGCCGAGACTCTTATATCTAGCAATGGTTTTAAAGATTCTGTTCAGTCATTTTCATCAAGGGAGATATTACATAACAAATGTATTGCCATCTAGATGTGCGCACCTTTTGGCTTAAATCCCTTCGCTGTAGCCTAGATTAATTGGACCATTACGCTGTTAAGAAGTAAGTAGAGTGTGTATTTTTTACTGCTTGGCAGGTCGTTTTGCTTTCATAAGTCTGTGAAACGTAACGGACGTGGCAACTTTACAGTAGCCAGCCCTGCTGAATGCCACAGACAAACTGGGCGTGGGGGAAACAGTCCGAACAGAGCCTAATAATCCTCAAATCTCATCCACGCACGGCCACTAAATTGCGCATATTTGAGGTAGTATCGCCACACTGACGAGCGCCTCGGCGGAGCCAGTGGATTTACCTGAACCAAAGTAAGTGCGACTGTCAAATACATATTGCAAACTTTTTGAAGCGGAGGTGACATTTAAAGGCCACAGGAGAGGTCGTGCTACGGTGCTCTCAAAGGCGTTTTATCTCTTTTATTGAGGTGTAGTGTCAGTCCAAACAGAGGAAACCGAAATGATTTAGTACCGAAGGTGGCGTGTCGGTCGGCTGAGGCCTATATATATATATATATAAAATCTTTATTCTGTGTATGTGTCAATGATAATGATACTAGGACTGGGATGGGGCGGGTGTGTCTCCACCGAGGCAAAACGTTTGGGGCGTTGAATGAATTCAAACCCAGCAGGGAAGGAGCGGAATCTAAGAGTTGGTTGTGTATTACAGTAGTCTGCTCGACTTGTCAAAAGAATATCGAGGAGTCATTGCTCACTCATTGCGATGCGTTTAAAGCACAATAACTCATAATTGAGTGCATGGGCAGACTGACCCTGCATAGTCTAATTAAGATAAGCTTTAAGTCGAGAGGAAAGCAGATAGAGTGAATTCCTCAAGGCCCCACCCTTTGTAGCGCAACATGGATGTGGAGAGGTGCCCCCCCCTCCTCCTCCTCTTTCTGTCTCTCCCTCCGCGTCATTCATTTCCCCTTTCAAGCTTGTCTTATGCTGTTTTCCCCCCTTCAGTATCTCCAGGTGCCCACAGTAGATCTGCTTTTAACCAACTTTCGACCATGGCATCAGCATCTACTTCCAGGAGTCTAGAGGTGATAATTGGTGGAGGTAAGTCGAGGTTGTATTTGAGTCAACCTGAGGAATGCTTACAGCTCTGTTGTAATATAAAGCAAAGGGTTTTTTTGTCTGCCTCCCAAATTATAATCAAGTAGCGTATCCATGTGACATACTGGTGCATATTGTAGTTTTTACAGCTCAATGCTTTTTCTGTTTGCCTGTTTTTATGGGTTTTTTTCCCCCTCATTGCTTGCTCTTTTTACTGGCACCCTGGCTGTTGCTCTGTGCACATCAACCTGTTGCAAGTTCAGACAGTCGATGTACTCTGCCCCCATTTTCTATGAATTCTAGTGGCAGGGATTATGTAATCTTATAGCCAGTGTTCAGGGCCCTTTGCTTATGCAATGTCAGTTTACAGATTTCAACATTAAGAAGGACTATGGGTTAAAGTATGACTTATCAAAGTTCAGGTTCCTGAGCTCAAATTCTTTGGCTGAAAACTGCGTTGAGTCTGGTTATAATTCAGTGAGGACTGCTGAGCAGCAACTCCCAGTTCTTCGCGTTCTGTTTAGCAACCACTTAAGTTTTCCACCTGCATCCCATCTATGTCAGCCAAATGACAGCTCAGACCTTGTCGTCTCTGATCTTTGCAAGGCATAAGAGCTCCTGATGGATAACTTGACCTTGTGCAAATCACAGCCATTTCTGTTGGCCAATGACTTGCCTTTTTTCCCCTTGATTTTAGGTCTGAGAGATTCATACGGGGTTCCCATTGCTGCTCATTTTTCAAAGGCCTGTCCAATGCTGAAAAGCTTACTTGATTAAATTGCAAAAGTAATAATGTCCTTTTTTTCCCCCCACTGTTCCTTCTCCAATTCTACATGATTTCTCAGAAAGTTGACATTTCAGGCTGGAGATGCTCTAGAAATGCTTGTTAGTTGCACAGGGCTCATTTCGGCTTCCCCCACTGCCTACCTTTTTCCTCAAGAGTGCCCGGCCTTCTGTAATTATCCCCTCTTTTGGTATGAATAGTGAATTATACATGACGCTGCAGGCCGGTCAGAGTCCGGGCCACTGGACACATCTGGATTATCAGAATGCCACCATTTGAACTCCTAGACCTAGAACTGTTTTTAAGAGAATTAATTTCTGTGGTAATAATATCCCACCCAAATGCAGGAAGTGCTGTGACTAGTTGCACATATAGGAGCGTGATAATGTATTTACAAGGCCTCATTGACTTCGGTTACAATGACACACTGTGAGTGTTAAAAGACTGGTATGCAGAAAGGATGTGAAATTATTGTTATTGTTAGAAGAGTCATTGTGAGCTAAGAAAGATTTTAACTGCATGAAATCTGGTCCAGGTTAGAAGTGCACATCAATGTCACGTTCTTTTAAGCCAAAAATGAGCTGAATCTGCATCCTCGGTAGCTGCATTCTAGCGACTCGAGGGTAATTACTGTTGATTTGTGGAGAATTTAATGACTTTATAAATCCTCAGTTGAGTTGCTGTTCAGATGTCATACTTATTCAGTGCTACAGACATTCTGCTGTTACGGACCGTGCAGTATAGTGTACCACTCTGTGCCATTTTGAAGTTACTCCCTTATAGGCTCTTTTCCACCCTTTTTCTCTCCTTCTCCCCTTTGCCATCTTGTTTGAGTATTTGCTTTGTCTGGTTTCTGATTGTTTAGCCACATTGGATTGACCTATGTGTGTGTGTGATGTGTGTGGTGTGTGTTTGTGTGTGTGTGTAAGTGGTTAGCAGGCACAGTCGTTATCTCTGCGTGGCTAGATGTGATTAATACAGCCGTCCAGCAGTGACGTCGATTGCGCCACTCCCCAGACACACACACACAGAGAAAGGGCATGTAAGATGGGAGAAAGATTGGAATCTGATGTTTGTGCCAGCAATTTTGTGTCCCCGTGCCCTATAATGTAGAGTCAAATGTCAAGTCATCCTGAAAATCGTTATTTTGGGTGTATATGAATTTGTGTGTGTGTGTGTGTGTGTGTGTGTGTGTGTGTAAGTATTTGTGAGTATTTGTGTGAGTATTTGAAATATATTTCATGCAAATGTGTGTATATTTGTGGGTTGGCAAATTGGGAAGGGTTAAGCCTGACTAACAGGCCTTTTACTTTACTTTCCAAAATAACCGCAGAAAGATCTGGAACCGTTTTGTCCCGTCAGAGTTGCTGACATTGATCAGAACCATAGAATATAAAAATGTGTCATTTGATGAGTCACTCTTTCTCTGCTAACTTAAGCCTATGAATTACCAAACCCATCAAGAGTCTTGGTGTAACTGAGCAGGACTGAATATTGACTGTTATTGATGGTCAATCAAAGAGGGGAGGATCTGCGGTGGAAATGCGGTAGCTGCAGTGAGGTTGCACATTTTTATGGCCACACCCAGACAGCCTCGGAGAGCAAACTTTGACTAGCTTAGGCTAATTCTATAGAAATCGTAAGTGGATGCCAGGGTGTGTGTCTGCCTCTGGTTACAACAACCAAAGCTCTTTTGCAGGTGTTGTCATGCTGTACGAAGGTGTGTGTACGGTACCGTCTGATGGACAGAGAGATATAGTCTGTTTGTGCTTGCATGTGCACACATGCACAGAACAGAGATGTGTGGGTGTGTGCAGCATGGCAAAGTCTGAGATATAGTTGTTGGTGATGCAGCACTAACAGTATTCTCGACTATTGTATCTGCCTCATGGAGAGAGAGAGATTGCTGCCACTCCTCAGCAAGACTATGTGTGGTTTACCAGACCAGACCCATATACTCATATGTACAACACATGTTGCACTATGTGTGCCTGCCCACTGGAAAAGTTCTCTCTAGCAACAAAAATGTAAAACCAACTAACAAATGCCTAGTTTTATCTGCTAAATTTAGACGTAATGAGTTAACCTGCACTAGTTTGGGAGAGTAATCCTAAACAGTTTTGTCTGCAGCGTGACTGTGCCTGTACTGTACCTGCACGTAGTAAGTAAGTAAAAAAATTGAGCCAGGAGATGATTTCCTGGGATATTCACCCTAAATGTGTGTCTGTAGGTGATCTAGTTAAAGAACAGTTATTGTGCATTGTAGTATATGTACACGCATGCCTAGATAGAGCCCCAGCTAGAACCCCGAGGACACAGATATACAGACAAAGAGAGTACAGCAGCCTATATGCAAGGACAGATATATAAATTAAACCTCACTGTAGGCCCAGGTTGGAGCTTTTAGCTCTGAGTTTTGATTATTGCAGCTGCAGGCACAGGCTGAGCTAAACTAAAGCTGTGTTAAGATTATTTTAGGCTGAAGCAATGTAGCAGGCTCAACTTTGGGCTGGTCTCTACAGGGCCAGCGGTGAGGAGCGGTGGGCCTCTCGGTAGACCGGCTGGAATGTGGACCATATGTAGCAGGCATCCCAGGAATGTAGCTCGGCCTTGCTGAACTGACCAACCTAAAGACACAGAGAGAGCGGAGCAGGATAAGGAGGAGAGAAAGGGATAAAATGAAGGTAGAGCATGGAAGATGATATGAAAGGACAAAATAGATAGCGGAAAAAAAGGGAGCTGGAGGACAATGAAAGATCAGAAGGCAGAAGAAGATAGCTTAGCAAAGCGCATAAGAGATGGGAGGGTCAGGAAGCAGAGAGAAGTGATAGAAAGGGGCAAAGGACAGACTAAAAGGAGAAAAAGTAGTAAATACAGGTAGATGCATGCGCCAAAAACTCTGGTACAAATGTTTCTTTAGTGTGGGCTGCACTGGTGTTATCAGTATACTGAATAACTACACTTGAGTTGCACGGTCTTTCACTGTTGTTATACTTGGCACGATGTCTCTCTGTATGTAGTTTACTGAAGAATGAGCTTCGGACGACCGAAAATTATTCTGCAACAATTCTCATAATCAGTTATTGAATTGAGCAATAAGAGTAAATTATTTTCTGGTTTACTCTGTATCGTTCTAAATGTAATGTACTTAAATACTCCCAGTCCCAGATCAATTAATTATTAATTATTAATCGAGTTGTGTGTGCGATATCTTATCAACTGTGACTAAAAAAAGAAACGCAGGATAAAAATAAATAAATAAACTAGCTGTTGTACTTTAACACAATGACACAGTTTAGTTAACTTAAATTTAATTTTAACCTCTTTTGGGCAAATTAGTTATTAAATTCCTTAAAATGTCAATGTAAAAAGTCCATTTAGACTAGACTAGGATGGTTTTACTTGAGTAAATGCGTCACTAATTACCTCAATCTAGTCATGTGGTAACCACCATTAGCACATTTATTCAATGGTTAAAGCTGTTGTGTGCTAACGTTGTCATAATTAATGCGTTACATTAACACCTGTACAATGAAATGGAAGATATTTAATAGGGAGTAACTTCTGTGGATGAAATGTGTATTATTATGTTTGTCAGACCACAGTGTTCTTCCAGCTCACTGAGGGTGAATGTCTCTGTCTCGTCTCTGTTAGCTTAGCACACTGTGCTCTCAGGCCATCTGGGTACAGCTGGGGCCAGAACGGCAGGAAACACACTCACTCACAGATACACACACTTATACAAACATTTTTTTTTTTTTTTGGTCTAACATACCCAGCCATGCCCCCAACACACACACAAACACACACACACACACACTGTTCAGTGGAGTGTGATGGCAGTTGACCTCGACTTGCCATGGTTTTTCGTTGACCAACCAAACTGTCATCAGCTTATCATTTTATCTTCTGTCAGTGCAATAGATGAGAGCTTCTTAATCTTTTTCAATCTAATTAGAAATTACCTCATTAAACCAGGAACCAATAAACCAAATTACAGCCTCTACCTTGTGTGGGGACCCACCAACATTAGCATGGTAACCCCTCGATGGGCGCTGATCTGCAGCTGGAGACGACATGCTTAAGACAGTTGGGTTTGGACTGCGTGAAGTAAATGTTTGTGTGAAAGGCGGAGGTCCGAGGTCAAATCAACGTAGGATGGTTGGCTAGGTTAATTATAAGGAAGACTGTCCAGTGCAGAGACATTAGGCAAAAAGACAGATTTTTATTGATAGATGTAAAAAAGACTTAAAATAGACAAAATTCCTTAAACTTGAGTGGCAACTTTGGCATTTTACTCCTCTTTGATCCTTCCTCCTGTTGAGTCACCCTAAATTTTGTGGTCATATCTGAAAGATTTGGGTTTTAATTTACTGTTTTTGGTTGACACTCACAACATTGTTGCAGGCAGCTGTTTTCAGCAAAAAGGTTTTAAACCCACAGTACACTATGTGCTCAGCACCAAACAGCTGACATACACAGTCAGCAACTAGCTGGTGAACACAGAGGAGCATTTAGCAGAGATATTTGCCCCCCAGGAGCTGCTGGAGACAACGAAAGGAGCTAAAAGAAGAGTGAATATTAGTTTTACATTCATCAAGTGGCCAAAAACACAACAAATGAATGATAGTCTTCCTTCGTATCTGCTGGAAACGGGTAAGGTGGTTTACCGTATCAACTGAAAAGGTGTTCAAATAGGGCGAAAAAATCGAATTATGCAGGGTTTAATCTTAAATCGAGCAAAGCAAATTTACTCAATGAGTGTGATTATTCTATAAGCCGTCATCTACTAGCTAAGTTGGTCTGGAAATGAAATTCTATAGCATTCGACCTTGGCTAAATAATTTTCTTGTGGAAATCTTAGAAACCACGTGTAAATTCAGATGGGGTAGTGGCGGACCAAACTTTCTTTTAATCTATTACTTCTTTGTGTTTAACGGTTGATCGCTTCCAGTTCAGTGTT